CTTGATTTTTAAGCTTTGTTCCATATTGGCCGGTCACTGACCAGGTTCCTCTCTTGACCTGAAGACTCCCAACAGGATTACTTCAAATCCTCTTGTTTTTCTCCGTCAATTGCCATATCTCAAGCTTAGCAAGCCTAACCTCCTCTTTTAGCTGCTGGTAGAGTTGCTCAAGAGAGGACATCTTGTGCAGATTCGATAACAATAACCTTAAACCAAGACAGCAATGCCTAAGCATACATAATAAGGCAAACAGATTACTGGGATTTATATCAGGAAGTGTAAGCAACAGAAGTTCAGAGGTTACATTACAGCTTTATACATCATTAGTAAGGCCTTACCTAGATAATGCAGCTCAGTTCTGGTCTCCATATTACAGAATGGACATAAATTTCTTAGAAAACATTCAGTGTAGAATGACTAAATTAATACATAGCATTAGAACTCTTCCTTATGAAGAAAGATTGAAGACCCTTAAATTACATTCACTTGTTAGACGAAGAATGAGGGGAGACATGATCGAAGTGTATAAGTGGAAGATGGGTATTAATAAAGAGGATATAAATAAGGTCTTGAGGATATCTCTTGCAAGAGAGAACACGCAGTAATGGATTCAAATTAGACAAGTTTAGATTTAGAAAGGATATAGGAAAGTATTGGTTTGGAAATAGGGAAGCTGATAAGTGAAACAGTCTACCTAGTTGGGCTATTGAGGCTAAAACCTTGGGTAGTTTCAAATTTAGGTTGGATAAATACACGAATGAGAGGGGTTGGATTTGAGTGGGACTTGCAAATGAGTGGATAGAGTTATCATAGCTTATTTCTTGGGTGGCATTGAAAATTGGGTTGGGGAAAGGTTTTGTTAGTGAGATGGATTGTGAAGGACCTGCCTAGTATGGGCCAACAGGCCTGCTGCAGTGTTCCTCCTTTCTTATGCTAAGTGGAACAGTCTGCCTAATATGGTTAAAAGAACATATGAACATAAAGGAGGAACACTGTAATAGGCCTGTAGGCCTGTTGGCCCATACTAGGCAGGCCCTTCACAATCCATCTCACTAACAGAATATTTCCCCAGTCCAATTTTCAATGCTACCCAAGCAATAAGCTTGCTAATTCTGTTAGGCAAGACACATATGCAACAATTAGGTATCTATTTGAAAACGTTTCGCCTACACAGTAGGCTTCTTCAGTCGAGTACAGAAAAGTTGATAGAAGAGACGTGAAGACAATGTAATCAGTCCATCACCCTTGAAGTTTTGAGGTGGTCAGTCCCTCAGTCTGGAGAAGAGTATCGTTCCATAGTCTGAAACAATATGGAGTAGAAGTGACAGGATGGAGCCTTATATACCGCCAGGAGGTGAGATGAAGGCCACTAGTAGAGGTAAGAATGTAGTCGTTGGGAGGTCACGTCCCTCTCAAATCCAGCCACTCTCACAAGTAGAAGCTGTCCAAGTTATTTTCTGTTCTGTACAAAGATACCATTGTCAGACACTGTCAGACACTGCAACACAATGGTATCTTGGTACAGAACAGAAAACAACTTGGACAACTTTCAGGGACACTACTCTTCCTTTAAAACCCTGGAAAAAGCACGTCACAAGGAGGTGTGCTCAGTCCTACCGTTTAACGTCCTTATGCAGGAACTTGAGAGCCTTCCCTTTCATAGTGGTACGCAGCTACTCAGCTATACTGATCTTGCACTCGTAGTGAATGGGAAAGGCAATTTGGAGCGACAGGCTCAGAGAGCTTTGGACCTAATTACGCAGTCTTGCAAGGAACTAGGCCTCAAGATCTCGGCCGAGAAATCTCTTGTAATGATGTTCAAGGGACCAAATCCTGTGAATAGATTACGTATTCAGGATATAGAACTTGAGTGGATAGGCTCCTACCTATACTTGGGAATCTACACTGATAAAAAGCTGACCTTTCAGAAACAGGCCGAGTATGTCAGATCCCATGCTCTACTCAGACTCAACGCCATGAGAGCCATGACGAGGCACCGTGCAGGGGTGAGCAAAGATGTACTTCGCTTGTACTATATACAAGCTATACGCTCGCTCACTGACTACGGTGCACCAGCATTAGCTCATCTCTTCCCGCAGAGCAGGCAAAGGGTGGAGATGGAAATATAAACACACGTGCAGTATAATGTGATCCTTTATTGACAATGTTTCGCCCACACAGTGGGCTTTTTCAAGTCACAAACAGATCTACATGGGTGGAAGGTACGCGAGTATTTATAGTCAGGTTCAGAATGTTGGGTCAGGTGGAGAATGCTGCATCTGATGATCTACCGAGTGGGGTTAGAGTCTAAAACCTTAGGTAGCTTGGAAGGGAGATTGGATAAGTTTGTGAGCAGACCTTCTGCAGTGTTCCTACATTCCTATGTTCTTATGTGGGATAGCAATGTTTGTGACTTGAAAAAACCCACTATGTGGGCGAAACGTTGTCAATAAAGGATCACATTATACTGCACATGTGTTTATATTTCCATTGTGTCGGTATTTTATACCATTATTTCCAAAGGGTGGAGGTCGTACAAAACCAGGCGATAAGAACTATACTTGGGACCCCCATCTGGACCAACATTTTATGTCTCAGATCTCAGGCCTGGCTTCCTTCCCTGGCTAACAGAGTAAGATACATAAACGCCTGCAAAGTAGCCACAATTCTGCACCAGCAGAAAGGTACCCCACTAAGAAGACTGGTATTGACACCCATGACACAAGATCCAACTCTCTTCATGGATTACTCCTGGATTCGTTCGTTTTGTGCTGCTGGGTGGAAGCTGCTGCCTATACAACAACTCCTTGAGAAGAGTTGTGACCTTCCTGTTGCTGGGTATCATCCACCACCTCCCTGGCACACAGATCTGGCCGATGTTTGCGTCATGCAGCTACCTATCTCTAAGCGTCTCTGCAGTCAAGATACCCTGAGCAATCATGCTGAGACAAGCATGGCACTGGCAGAGGGATGCACATGTGCAGTGTATTTCACAGACGGTTCTGTCGACCCTGATAGGAAGAGAGCAGCAGCTGGACAGTACCACAATGGTCACACACAAGGCTGGTGACTCCCTGACCACTGCACGATCCTTCAAGCTGAGCTGGTGGCGATTCAGCAGGCATTGTCACATGCCCTAAGACATCAACTCCGACCTGTCATACATGTTGACTCAACCTCTGCAATCAATGCACTCTCCCATCCTCCACCACAGGACAATACAGTGGTCCCCCGCTTAACGATCACCTCCCAATGCGACCTATTATTTAATTGTATTTATGTAAGTTTGTATGTGTATGTTTGGGAGTCTGAAATGGACTAATCTACTTCACAATATTCCTTATGGGAACAAATTCAGTCAGTACTGGCACCTGAACATACTTCTGGAATGAAAAAATATCGTTAACCGGGGGTCCACTGTATTCACCTCATCACATCGATCCTGAGCATAATGACAGCCTTAGAGGTTCAGGGCAAAAGATCGACATTAAACTGGATCCCCAGCCATGCTGGCATCCGGGGAAATGAGGTGGCAGATGATGCAGCCAAGGCAGCCACAGAGCATCCACACGTTGGGATTACTGTCCCCATCAGCCTACGACAGACCAAACTGATGGTTGCGAGAGCAATGAAACTTATGGAGGAGGTCTTATGCGATACCCCATCTCAACAGTGGTACCGAGCAGCGACTCAGGGAGAACCCCCTCCATATGATAGAAGCTGGTCCAGAGCGCAGTGTACCACCATCCATTGGCTTCGTTTGGGCTTTCCCACAGCCAAGATGATGGTAGACAAAGCTGAGGAGGAGATGTGCCAGTACTGCCAGCACGTTGTCCAGCACCCCCAACACACTATCTTCTGGAGTGCGAAGTTACCGAGACACTCCACAGGCAACTAGCACTGATATCCCCTCCCAAAGAGGACCCAGAGATGACTGCGGCCACATTAGCATACCATGGAGTCAGCGAACCAGACAAGCTGTTGCTCGTGATAACGACATATCCTCCTCGTTAGTGTCCACAGTTAGGAGTATATACGGTGTTGTCACTTATGAGATGCACCAGATGAACTGACGAGAAGAGTGTTTGAGCAGTATATGTCACATCATTGTAGCAACCTTTCTCCCTCGGGAGCCAGAGGCAGGTCATCGCAAGATTGAGACCCGTGCCAGGACTACGGTCTTAGCAAACATTATACATACATATATACATACTTCTACTCCATACTGTTTCAGACTATGGAATGATACTCTTCTCCAAACTGAGGGAGTGACCACCTCAAAAACTTCAAGGGTGATGGACTGATTACATCGTCTTCACATCTCTTCTGTCAACTTTCTGTACTCGACTGAAGAAGACTACTGTGTAGGCGAAACGCTTCGAAATAAAGATACCTAATTGTTGCATGTGTGTCTTGCCTAACAACCTGTCGTTTTTTTATACCATTTTGATAATTCTCTTTACTCACGTGCAAGTCCCATTCAAATCCAACCCCTCTCACTCGTGTATTTATCCAACCTAAATTTGAAACTACCCAAGGTTTTAGCTTCGATAGGACCTTGGGTAACATAGGAACATAAGGAGGAACACTGTAGTAGGCCTGTTTTCCCATACTAGGCAGGTCCTTCACAAATTCAACCCACTAACAGAGTAAATGCTACCCAAGCAATAAGCTTTGACAGTTCTATGGGGATGGGGACTGTAGTAGCAGGCTTCCTTGTGAAGAACATTGTGATGGGCAACTAAGACCGTTTCTTCATATCTATATAGTTTTGTAGGGAATTATGCCTCTATCAATGTCGTGCATCACCTTCAAAGCCCTCAACTTAAATATGATTTGGCAGCTGGGAATTCGCGAATGTTCAAAGCCCACGAAAGTGGAAAACACAAATGTTGAGGGAGACCTGTAATATACAAGACTATGGGGATCTTTTACCAAAACAAATGACAGTATTGTTACTTAACACACTACAGTATAAACCATAGGACAATTACACACAA